TTTTCAAAGAAAAATCACAAAACAAAAAGAAGTCAAAGCTTTTCTGTCTGCATCACAACACATGCTCCCTCAGCAGCATTACATCATCCTGGCAGCAGGAGCTCCCACTGCAGCGTCCAGAGAGATGAAGTCATCGTTCAAAAGTACAGTGACTGTGTCATCTGTGAGCTGCAGCTTCAGGATTCATGACTCAGCTCGGGTGTTTAGTCTCAACGCTCCTCGAACACAAACACACAGACTCAGAGGTGTGGACCTACTTTGTCGGCAGCGTGTCAATGTCCCTGATCTCCCTGGACACGGTCATGGTGTAGCCGTCGATGACGTAGAAGTGCTCCTTTCCGAACAGCAGCAGACCCTCGCTGGTGTCCAGACCCTGAACTCTGGCACAGCGATACATGTGCTGAATCTGGAACAACGGATGTGACAAACAACCGAGGGTTCATTTGCTGAAACAATTTTATGGATCAAATTCTGCAACGGTACTTTCTGCCTAACTCGGTGACTTCTGTTAAAACAGCTCCAGTGGATCTGCTCAGTTTCCATCAGACGTTACAGCAAGTTATCAAATCTCCTCCCAAACTATGCTCGGGTCTCTCTTACAAAAATAAATGTCGAATCCCAATTTTTTCAGCCTATAGAAGCTGCGATAGGAAACGTTATGAAAATCCTTTTCTTTTAATTCATCTGCTGGTGCGTCCCTTCTCTGACCTTCTCTCCTTCCTCCAGGAGGCGCAGCAGTGATGTGTTGTCGGTCCTCTGCTCCTCTTCTGGGCCTCCTGACTCCAACAGCTGCTCCTGAAGCTGCTCCTGACTGTCCTCGTCCGCTCCGTCCGCCGTGGACCGAGACCTCTTCAGAGGGGCCTTCACCAGACCTGGAGAGCAGAGACAGAGAAGACGGAGCTTTTGGTTTGAACTCAGACACCAACCGGTGACTCTCGACCTCCTGCACTTCACAGGGACGATGTGAAAACAACGATCTAATGATGTGAGAGTTTTAAACACTACATGAACCTCTCTGCTGCCGCCTCCGTACCTTTGACCCTCGCGATGGTGTCCTCTCCGTGCTCGGGCTCGTGCTGCGTGGTCTCTCCCTCGGTGCTGTGCTCCACAGAGTGCTGGTACATGCCGGGGTTTCCAGACAGCAGACGCACGTAGTACTCTTTGCTGTCGTAGCTGATGGCTCGCCGGTAACGCAGAGGCTTCTGGAGGGGCGGAGAGAGAACGAGAAGGAGGTGAGTCTGACTCCAGGTTGGGTAAAAGATAATTAGTGGCTCCTATTATGAATTCTATGACCCTAAATTAAATTCAACATCAGATCTGGTCCCTCATCGGTCAGTTTATCATCTTTAGGTTTAATCTGTTGTGTAAATTATGACCTTAAATAAAGTCAAGAGACAGCAGAGAAGAAAACCTTGAGACGACTGCAGAGCCACACTTGATGTCTCATTAATGTTTTGGATAATACTTCATTCTCAAACAGGGATTTACTGTATGTGCAAACACATGCAAAGTCAAAACCTCTGGCATTAAAAGTCACAGCAAAATATACGAGAAGCATCAGCGGTGCTAATGTCCCGACATGCAAATCATTCATTTCACTGAACGCAACAACACAAACATTCTCTTTTGCTGGATTTTCCAGCAGACGCTCGTTACGGTGGCAGATGTTTCCAGTCCTCAGCAGATCACTGAAGCTGTCGAATCAGTGATGTCACACTCTTTATTTTGTTTTCGTCGTTATTAAGTATTAAACACGCCGTCATGCAGTCACAGCAGACGTCACCAGGGGCTAAAATGTCTTGTGCACTTCAGACCTGGCCTCGCTCGGGGTCCCCAGCCAGAGCTGAGGGTACAAGAGGAACCAGAGGAGGGGAGGAGCGCTGGAGGAGGTAAAGAGAGGGAGGAGGTTTGTGAGGCCGTTACGATGCTGTATTGATACTGTTGGATCCTTCAGGCTGCACAGTTACTGCTAACACCCGGTAGAAAAGGTCAATGAAGCTTAGAGGAGAATTCAGAAGTGTTTTTCTCAAGTGTTTCATTCGGGTTTTTTATGGAACTGGGACCTTTTCTGCCGTTGTGGCCTTGAGCAAGGCAGGGAAGCCAAAAGCTGTAGAGGGCAAATGTCAACTGATGGTATTTTATTGGGAACGAAAATCCCTCGACAACCCCGTGAGCACGTTAGAATTATAAATCATCATCAGGCCTGTGGGACGGTTTGATTCCACTTAAACTTTCCTTTATTTGTTCTGACATCAAGAGATTCTTAAAACTTTAAAAATAAATAATTGGAGTATCCACACGTTCCACATTTTGCGGCACTGATATAAACACGAATCAAAGTGATGCATCTCTCTGTGTCCTCCTGACCGAATAAATGATTGTGCAGCGAGTGTAGAGAGACACCCGTGGGCAAACAGACGGGAGGGATTATCCGTCCAGCAAACAAAGCTAAATGTGTCCCGGTGGTGCCAGGAAAAAAAACCCTGAGCCACCGGCTGCTGGTGTCACTTCCTCACATGACAGCGATGAGCTCTGTTAGAGCCATTCTTACGAGTTCACTGCTGCGGACACAGTTCTCGACATGATGGATTTGAAATATTTCTTTTGAAGGATGTACATAAATGTACATTAATGTCCTTCATTCATTAAAATGCTGCTGGTCCCATTTTAGTTTGAAAACTCTGGATCTGCATTTCAGTCCGGACGAGCAGAAACGTCCAAGAAAAGAAATTCCTCCTCTGACTTTTCGCCATTGTTGTTCCTGGTTTGTAGAATTTGAGAGATTTTTTTAGTTTTAAAATCAAAACAAAACAGTGCGGAGTCATTCTGATGACCTCACTGTCGTACTGTTTGACGTTAACTACCCGTTTGAAGATGAGTACCTGCGCAGAGTTGGTGTTTGTCTCCGTCTCAGGGATGTATGGGTAGTGGATGTAGAACATGTCGTTGCGGACCATCTTCTTCCTCATCCTGCAGGGCCCCTCCGTCATCTCCAGCACGAACTTGTCCAGGTGGGAGCCGATGGGGGGCCCCCAGAGGCCGCGCTCACGCAGCAGCTCGTACTCGATGGACGCCCACTCCTCGGTCACGTACTTGAGAGTGTTCTGCTGCCGCTGGGGGAGAGAGAGAGGGAAGGATGAAGTGAGAGGGGTCAGTCAATCTCTCCTGACCGCGCCGCACCAACTTTCATTCAGAGAAAGTGAAACCATTTAAACCCGAGGCCACATTTTCACGTTTCTACCTTGAAGACGTTTGTGTGATTTAGAGCCAGACGAGTCGTAAATGTGGTTAAATCTGTTTTATTCTATCCACTGAGTGATGATGCACATGCGTTACCTCTTGATATTCTTTGTACTGCATGGCCACCAGGTCTCGAACAACAGCAATGTGTGTGAACATCCACTGGAATGTCTCCTGTCGGTCAGACACAGCAGGATTTTAATAACACAACGATGACTGACACATCGTTCAGGGAAGTTTGTGTTTCCACGCTCGTGCAGCGAGTGTTTGAGTGTCAGCGTGTGTTCGGTACCTGTGCAGAGAGGCTGTTCTTGTTCAGGCTGTTCTCCTTCTTGTTGCGGCGGACGCCCGTCAGCTTGGAGAGACCGAAGCCGCTGCTGACTCTGGACAGTTTGGACTGGGTCGCCGGTGCCACCGCTTCACCGCGGCTGATGCACTTCTTCTCATGGACTGCAACAGTGAGGGGGGAGAAACTAATGAGTCACATTTAGTGATTTTCAATTGTCACCTTACAACCAGAAGGTTCTGGGCTTCAACTCTGGCTTCATTCCACAAGACGAGCAGCTCATGTGGGCGATGGACGTTTGTAAGAAGTTTTCCTGTATCTGTGAACGCCCTGAACTCTATCTGGTCTGTGCGTTTCTCTCTCTCACTCTGGACAATCCACAGGGAATTCTTCCTTGAGGCTTTTGTAACTTTTAGGAAATTTAACTTCTGGTTGTCTGACAAAGTGAAGAGTCAAAACTTTTTAACAATTACCTGATTGACCAGCCTGCTTACACAAGCAAAACACACGATCTGATTAAGTGAGCAACGGAAAGAAAGCATGTCAGCAATAAAAGGCTCCTAATGGCAGTGCTCCAGATGAAAGCATTCGACAAACAACAAGAGGCATTTCTAAAAAAAAAGGATTTCGTTATATAATGAGAAGATCAGACGTTAACACTCGGAGGGAATAAAGGGCGTGACAGATTCAAACCGTTGAGCTACTTTACGGCAGGTCTACGTGGTTTTATCTTGGTGTGTGGGTATTTTTCCAGCATCCCTTACCCAGGTGGTTCTGCCAGCTCTTCAGGGCCGGCTCCTCCAGGGCGGGCCGGGCCGTGACGATGTCCACGTGGCCTCGGTCGTTACAGGGCAGAGACACCTTGAAGATGTCCTCCAGCATCTGACGCTTGCTGTGCATCAGCTCCGTCCACACGCGGTTCACAGCCTTCAACAGCAGCTGCCGCCCTGCGCAGACACGACCATGGTTGATTTTCACACTATCATAACCTCATAGTGTCATTTCATGGCAGTTATCAGATTCAATCCCGTAGATTTTTTTTAATGAGACATTTGTAAAACTCATTTTTAATGTGTGAACGGCTTCACGTCAAATGGGGTTTGTTTAAAAAGTCTAATTCATTTGAACGCAGCTCATTAAACCTGAGAAAGCATCAAAATATCAAGATCAAGAAATAAATTCACTGTCAGTTGTTTGGATTTGGATTTAAGGAATTTCTATTTTCCTCCTGAGGAGAAAAACACCATCACCACACACATGCAAACAGTCGGTGGGTTAAACAGGTTCACACGGCTCTCCCAGCTCTCCCTCACCCTCGCTGACGTCCTGGCTGTGTGTGGCATCAGCCTCGTTTTCTGTGGGCATCATGACATGCCAGGTCGTCATTCTGGCCTCCGCCTCCAGACCGAAGCCCTCCACGCTGCTGCAGACAAACACACAGCGGCTCAGTACCAACCCTCAGACCTGAGACGAGGACGGGGGGACGGGGGGACGGGGGGACGGGGGGTTTGATTGTTTTGCTCCTCTGAAAGTCGTGCAGCAGGTTGTTATTGTTTTCCCAGCGTGGTGAGAACAGTCTCTCCTCACCCGCTGCCGTTCTGGACGAACAATCAGTAGATTCTGGCAGGACACTCGCTCGCAAAGAAGACAGAGGACACGACGCAGTCGAAGAGACTCAGTGGATGAGTTTTAGTGATAATCTCAAATAAACCTCACGTCAGGGACAACAGAACCACAAACATGCACTTAAAATAAAAACATGTGATATCATTTGTAATATAAAATGTAATTTGTGTTTTTACCACATTACATTAATGTTTACATTTGTATTAATAGAGTTTCTGCATCACGCCTTCTTTACAGAACCAAATTTACCACTTAGACAGATTTTTATTTGACATAAAGAAGTGGAAGCGTTTTCAGAATCATCTGTTTTAACTTTTATACTGTTACGACTCAGATTAACTGCATTAAGAAGCCACGTTTAACAACTTACAAGGTTTCACATGTAGAGAATGAAAATACTTAATCCCACATTCATGCATCTGTGAACATCCAGGTTCAAATGTTTTTAATTCGATATCATTAACAATTCCCTTTGATTAGGTCATTGATATAATCATAGTGGCCTCATGTAGATGAATGAGTAGTAGAATCTGAATAGTTAAGTTAGTTTTCAGACAGATTCTGACATCACATGCTGTATTTTCTCTTTTCAAAGTCACAGGACCAAAACAGCCTTTTTACAACCCTCCCACACAGACTGTTACAGGAGGTTCAGCTCAGGCAGCAGGTCTCATGTCTCCTTACCTCCCACTGTGCAGGCAGATGAAGCAGTGAGCCAGACACGCCACGAAGTCCTGGTCGTGGTTGCCCGGCCCGAGCACCAGGTTGCGGTTGACGGTCAGGACCCGCAGGGCGTCCAGCAGGGCCACCTGCTGAGCGACCGTCTTGTGGGGACGGCAGAGCTGGTAGAGCACCGTCCGGTTCAGACAGTGGTAGATGGTGTCGAGGGAGAGGCCCTGCGAACGCCTCTTGGACTGGAGGAGTAAAACACGGGTGAGGTCAGAGGGAGAGAGAAGTTCAGCCGGGGAAAGGAGATTGTGGTTGTAGCCGTTGCTTTGCTGTGTTGAACAAAGCCGCTGTGGAAATACTGGAAGATTTATTTGAGCAACCGGAGCTGAACTGGGTTAAGTTGTTCGTGAATGTAGCTTTGTTATTCTAGTGTTGCTGTTTTGTCTGAACAGAGAAGTGCTTTAAGACTTTAAGTGGAGAGACACTGTTATGAATTACTTATGTGAGTATTGAGCTAATATGCTACATATCCTCCGTTTTATATTCTGCTCACAGACTCGCTGCTGCACTGGTGCCTGACACCGAGAGGATGCTTGTGTGTGTGTGTGTGTGTGTGTATTAAAACAGCTGATGACACACCTGCGTATATTGTAATTACTACTGTGCGCCTTGGCATTGAGTCGACGGCCGTCTGAATCACTACACACCATTTCGAAGACACAAAGGCACATTATGTTTTGAAAAATCTGTTTCGGAGGCTAATCCTCTAATCTTCTTACTCGCACAGCAGAGTGTGTCGAAGGCCTTGGAGGGGGGGG